GAACCAAGAAGATAAACATTTTTTTTTATATTTACCAGGTAAGGCCCACTGAGCGATAGAGCTCTTTACCAGAAGCGACCTGGTTATCACAAATGATAGCTCAAGGAAGTGGCTTATCACGTGTACATTTACAGCAGCCAAATACTCTAAACGCGTGTTGATTCTAACGTGGAGGAAACAGCGAAATCCACGCGACCACGGAGAGAACATGCAAACTCCAAATATACAGCAGGCGTCAGGGTCGGGATCGAACCCACGACTTCCTGTATACGAGGCAAAGTAGTTAACATCTCGCCACTGTGAGAATTACAAGGTGTGTTACGTTCGGAGCCAAGTTTGGTCTGGCCTCTTTCGCGTCGACAATGTGATGTGAATACAAAATACAGATCACTGGAACACCTTCACAGGTACTGTCAAGGTGAGACATTGTCAAGGTGAGAATGGAATATGCCACAGTCGGCACGTGCGCGCACAGCGCTTGCGGTATTTATACACCGTATTCGCTCTGTTTTACATCTTGATGTAATTCTATTATAGCAATGGGAATTCAGCATTGTTATTTGCTGATGAGGTGTGACTACATTTTAAATTATTTTACACCATTGCATCACACCTGTTTTGTTCTACCTCTGCGGTATGTGTACGATTGCAGGTGTTTTATTCCACAGATTATCAGGTGAAAATGTATTTATCAGAAGGGCATTTTATTCTGCGAGCAAATCTAACATTCGAAGGTTTTTATGAATGCTATTAAGCTTTTCAAAGCAAAGAATAGCAACACCACATGCAAGATTTGAATTCCGAAACATTACTTTTAAAAACAATGAGACGACATACACTTTACTTTTCAGTCATTATATCTAACCTAAAGGCATGTGGGCATTGAGAATTCTTACTTTATCATGACCAGCAATCCATTGGGTTAACCCATTATGTAAATAAATTCAACGTAAGAATTAACATGACCTTATCACGTTCAGGGATAAATGCTGTCAATTAGTGCACGACAGCATTATTTGCACAAATCAATTCGAACTCAAAAGGAACAGCTTAGTTCTGCTCCGTGGACTTTAATTAATGACGTCCTAAGGGCATTATCTGCTTCACAACTTGAGGAAGTCTTCGGGGAATGAGCACTCACAGCCATAATCAAATTTCCCAGTGCCCGATTAAACCAAATTTGAAACCTGGGCTTCAAACACAACCACTCTTTTTAAAGGGTTTGGGGTTTAGGCCGGTTCTCAGAAATTCTAGCACTCGCTCGAGACTCGGAAATGGACCATTGCAGCTTGGCCACCTGTGCCCTTTAGTCCGATAAGCTTTCACAGAGAGAACAATCCAGCTGCTGTGGCCGTGCATAAATCAGGAAGGAGAGACTCACTTTCCCTCTAGGGGACAGTTAGATACTATTACAACCCTCTTGCTACCTGCTACGAGTGGAAAAAAAAGTTGGCATTTTAGATGGATGATAAAAGTTTCGGGTAAAACTCCTTTTCTCTTTTTTGTAGACTAAATCGTTCGATTTATCGTTCGATTTAGTCTTCTTTTTTTTTCCCCTCCGCTTGTTTTGCTAAATCAATATCCTTTGTCAGTCGACTGTTGGATGAAAGCCTCTCCGCACTATTTTAGTCACAAGGGGGTGGGGGGTGTCATCGTTTGTCCATACCTCGCCGTGTCGGTCAATGCTGATTGGTGAAGGTGGGGCCCAGGATTGGTTCAAATATCTCTCATCGCGGATGTGAGCCATGGTCAGAAATCAAACTCGGGACGCGAGGTCCATGTATGTATGCATTAATGTTGAAATTATTTCGCACCGTACGTATGCAACTGTGATAATTGGAGGTGCGGGAGAAGGACAAATAAATAAACACGAAAAGCAGTTCTAAAGAAACGAGTTTTCAATCTAGATTATTTACAAGTGCGTAGCTTCAGTGGCTTCTTAATATCGGAACGAAGAGCGTTCCAGACGGCCGGAGAAGCGCATCTGTCAGGGTGCGATGCGGTAACCACCGCCCTCTTTGTTCGATGGCGAGCCAAATGTCGCTGCTTGCGAGGATGACCGGAGTCTGCGTGATGATGGTTTATGCTCCTTCACGAGATCGTCAAGGTGTTGTGGTTCATTTGTGGCAAGGACTTTGTGTGTAACGCATGCGACCTAATACAATGCAGTGCCCTAACCACTGCATCACTACTCCCCCCTACATATATACAGACTTGAAGCCACATAATGTGTATGTATTTTACGTACATAGATCTATTCACTCCTGGGAATCCATTGCTTTGAAGAGTGTGTTTCAAATGTACAGTATATTTTCCTACATTCAGTGTCAAAAATAATCGTCAGTGTATTTTAGCTTTCATTATTATTACAATTCATTCCATTAAGCAAACGTGGTGATTTTGTTTTAAATAAATTAGAAAACTGTACCCTGAAACAACATTGTCTCATTAAAAAAGCATAATCGAGTACAGTACACATTTTTTTTACGTGTGATATTTTTAATTAGATAGTATGAAAAATATAGATAGATTGCGTCGGTCTGATATTTTTCAACAACCAAAGGAGTAAAATACTAAATGGCAGAATAATGTGCTGACGTGTAAAAGGGCAGCCTTCGGATATCAGATGTTGCTGTCAGCGAGTTTGATCGAGTCTCTCCCCTTGCCATGTCCCTTCCTCAGAATGCAGATCTCTCTAAGGATTAAAGTGACAAGTCCTGGAACCACCTCCGACTGCCGATAAGGATTTTTTAAATCTCCTGTTTCCCCCCCCCGCCCCCAGCCCTTTTTTTTAATTCTCCAGTTGCATGTCGGCTCAACAATGCCGTGATCGCAGATAACCGCAATGTTCAGAAGCCACAGAAGGTTCTACTTCTTATTCTTCTTCAGTAAATGCTTATCCAAAGTGAACTTTTGAACTCGAAGCGGCGGAGAAAATGTATTTTGTCGAAGATATTCATTTAAAATTAAAAGTTAATGATACAGTCCCGTAGTACGAATACAAATTCTAAATATGCAGAAAAGGATCTGCACGTTTTTTTCCCTCCAATTCGGCAACATTATTTGCACACGTTCGAATGTAAAATACATTTACGTATTTCACGTGAATTTATTTTCCTTCAGTAGAATAATTCTGGTATAACGGAGCTCTTCAATAAACGTTTTTTGTAGAAAAATAAAACTGTAAAATATATAGGCTTTTTTAAATAATGTAACGGTTATGGCCAATTATATCTATGCATAAAAAAAATCTTCTTTTAAATTAATGCCACGTCTTGTGTTATCACCATTTGGTGTATTGCTCATATGATTAGGCTTTGAGCAAACTCAATTGCATTAAACACTGCATACTGATCAGATGTCTTATTCCAATTCAGGGATGACTCTCCTTGCAGAGGCGGCCGCTGAAGCAATGCTGCACCGGTGGTTACAGCTGAGTTTAAATCGCAGTTCCCCCCTTTTAACATAATGTGCTAATGTCCAAAAGCCGGGGGAATGCAATTACTGCCCCAGAGGAGAGAGGCTGATGGCAAAATTGCCGGCAGAGCGCGCTTGTTTTCTTGCCTAGTCACATCGAATTGCACGAAGAGCCCAATCGTTGCGTCTGTATGGCGAGTGGCATCACTATAAGCGAAGCGGTTTATTAGTCCGCTGTTTAACCTCGTAGCGGCGCGCCCGCCTTGTTGGCGACCGAGCCCCAGATCTCTGCATTTAACCGCCGCGTGCCCGTGGCTCTGGGCTAGAGCGGGGGTGAACAATCCGGGAGTGAAAACCTAATTAGGCCATATTCTTAGGTTTTTTTCGGTAAAGTCACGTAGGTAAAAAATAAAAAATTATAAAAGTAAAATAAAAAATCACGACGTTTCGGATTATTATTTTTATTTATTTTACTTTTATTAATTTAAACTTTTTTTACCTACGTGACTTTACCGAAAAAACCTAAGAATATGAATCCTTGCAGTCACGAAAGCTTCAAATCTAGAACTAATAAGGCCAACATGATGGTGGGGGGGGGGGCGGGGATTATTCGGCTCACGGAGAGCTGTGGGCTCCCGACTGACATTCACAGTGGGTGCCTCTGTTGATGTAACCGCGTGCTTCCTGTACGGTGTTTATTTACTATCCACCTGTCACCGATACGATGTAATGATTCATTCTTTTAAAAGCACGCAATTCATAGCTTACATGAAAGCCGGCAATGTGCATTACACATTTCAACATACATCTATTAAACCGAGCCCCATATGCATAGTTAAGAATAAATATTCACGTATAATCATTTGAAAACTATGATGTTATTATGATACTTTGTGTGGATTATTACAGTCATAATAGCATCAATATAATTGTTAGGTATTAACAAAACTCTGTTTGATTGTCTCAGATGTATTACTTGTACCATTCTGCCAATCTCACGACAAGATGTAAGTTTATACAGCAATACCAAAACCCATAAATTATGTAGCTGTACTTGTACGCACACAATATGTTCTGAACGATATGACCGATCCATGGGGCATTGTCACATGTAATCTAGGAGCACACATCTTTAGCTGGGATTGCTCTTCCTATGTGAAAAGTGCAGGGTCATGATGAGGTTTTCAAGAGCCATGATCGTTTGGCTGCCTATGATCACTTAGACCAGCGGTCCCCAACCTGTTTGGCACCAGGGACCGGTTTCGTTGAAGACTATTTTTCACGGACCGGGGGAGGGGGGGGGGGGTTCATCATTTGGTCTTTCCCCCTTTTCAAAGAAGCTCTCCAGCGACGTTTGTTTTTTTACTAATTTTGGCTAGGGGGTTAGCAGCTTGTGGGCTTACCAAAACTGTGACTGAGACAAGTGCGCGGTGCGGGAAAGAGGCGCGGATGGAAATTGGTAAATAATAAAATAATGGGCAGGCCACGTGCAGACTCACCGCTCTCACCTGCTGCTGCTGTGCGGACCGGTTCCTAACAGACCACGGACCGGTACCGGTCCTTAGCCCGGGGGTTGGGGACCCCTGACATAGAGGATCTATCGTGAGAAGTCTCGGCGATGTTATTCCGACGATGGGTAGATCCAAGTTCAGGTTCGTCCACCTTGCGCTCACTGTGAAATAAAAAAAAGTGTACGAATGAAAAGAACAAATTCTGCAGCCAAACTCTATCGATGCCTCCACTGCCAGTACCACATTTACATTCGTGAAATATTCCAGTGTACTCCATTTCATCACGATCAATACTTCATCTCTACAGGTACTACTCTAGTTACGAACATTCGACGACTTACGAACTTTCAGAGATACGAACAAACCTGTCCGTACGTCCAGTTGCCTGTTCTGACCGAGAGTCGTAAGTTCAACCGCCACGCAACAGATGGCATTTCCAATATATGGCATGTACATCTGCAGAACATGAAGAACCAGTGGCCTCTACGTCTACATGAGATTATACAACTTGTAAAGACATTCCCTGTGTAATAGTGTACATGTCGTACAACATGTTTGGATTTCGATTTAAAGCTTTCGTGACTGCAGGGATTCGTCTTCTTGGTTCTTTCGGTAAAGTCACGTGACTTTATAAAAAAAACATGTTTGGAATCGATAGGCGTAAAGTTAGACTTACCAACAAATCGACTGACGAACAGACCTCTGGAACCTACCTCGTTCGTAAGTAGGGGAGTCCCTGCATTATGTTTACAGAGGCGATTTCGAGAACAGGCATATGTTGTGACGAACGACCGCATCAACCAGAATGTGCCCATTCTCATCAGACCCTGGAAGCTAAGCAGGTTTTGAGCCTGGCTAGTGCTTGGATGGGTGACCTCCACGTACTCCAGGTTGCCACAGGTGACTGTGTGGGACTGTGTGGGACTGTGTTACGTCTTAGGTGGCTGTGGAACTGTTAAACGGTGTTCAGCAAGAGGGCAGGGCAGCAAAATCCATCATTGTGCTGTGCTTCTATGCTTCTCGGTCTATGCTCCCTGTCTTCACCAACCCGCACTGATAAAATTAGATAAAATATGGTGAATTAACGCCCGTTACTAAAGTGGCACGGGAATGCTTTGATTCTACTCGACATGTGTGAAAACTATTGGACATCTATGAAAAGGAGCTTTGTAGCGCATCTGATTCCTCCAGTATAAATACATATTCCGATTCAGCAGTGGGTTGACAAAGGGCCATAATCTTATTGTTTTTTTCGGTAAAGTCACGTAGAAGGGAAGTAATAAAATAATACAAATAAAACATAATAAAATAATTCTCACGACGTTTCGGCCACAACGCAAGCAGCCGTCCTCAGGTGAAGACCAGGTCTGTCGGGGAGACAGCGTCTGAATGAAACCGAAAGAACCAAGAAGATGAATCCCTACAGTCACGAAAGCTTTAAATCGAAAGGGCTATAAGTTACGTGTTTTTCTTTTTACATAAATCCTCTCCATCAATTGCCTCACACAGGAGATGACCGCATTTCCTCGAAGCTGTAACGTTCACCGTCAACAGTTAATTCACTCGAATTCGCAATGAGCTCACGGGCTCACCACAACACGAGCCGCGAGCGTATCCTCGTGCGCAACACGTGACACCGGCCTCGCCGCCGTGGCACTGTTTAATTTTGAATGTCCCATCTCATCGTAGAGAGCACATCGCTATGCGTATATGCTTCGCTAATGGGTGCGATGAAGTATGATCAACTAAACCGTCAAAGACGTGTCGCGGCATGGGGAGGCACTCATTCAGCAGTCGATTTATAAAAGGGATGTGTGTAAATTGTTACGATTAGAACATTCCTCGAAAGGACGCACTTAAATGATACGCACGTTCATCATCAGTCATGCTCTATCTACTGCTGGATGAAAGCCTTCTTCGCACAGTCACCATCCCTCGTGATCCTGCGATGCTACGACCCGTTGTCTTATGCGTGAGCTGATCATCCCTCCATCTTCCCAAGATGTGTGTTTATATTTTGGCTGCTATTTGACCGCGCCAGCGTCAACAAAATCGAATGCCTCTTAATAGTCCGCAAAAGCTGGGTATGGTGGTATTTGATATTCGTTCGCCTTTCTAAGATGAAATTGATGGAATGTGTGATCGTTTGTAGAAAAAAACCCATATTTCTCTCGTGGCCGATTCTATTTATATTCTTGCGTGTGATGTCGATATGTTCGGGAACTAAATGCCAACATCGAGGTCTGCTCGACACTAGAGGCCTTTCAGGAGAGAGAGTTCGTGCAGTTTTACTCATCCTCTGTTGCACGAGCGCAAACCACAGTGGTTTAGGATGAGGTCCGTTAGTGTGGGTTGCTTGGCCACTATCGCGCCGTGGCTTGTGTCTTTAAATTTCCATTCGTGAAGAAGATGTGCGTATCCATCGGCCCGTTAATGTTATGGTGCAAGTTGGTGGTTCCACCACCGGTGCCTTCGTGGAAAAATTTCAAAGTCAAGGGTTGTAATGTTTGGGTCTCGAATGGGGCGTTTGTTTTGGACGTCCGCGTTGTTCCACTGTTCGCCAGCGTTCTTCCGGATCTGGTCAATGAAACTCTAAATTGACCATTATTTGGTTCTCTACGATTTCCGTGCAATGAGCATTTCTAAGTAATGTAAAATTGGAAAGCAATATTTAATCCACAAATATCAATATCAAAATAGTACCCATGGCATTAAAAAGTCTTCACGCCAGATGTCTGCACTTTCTTTAAAATGGTATGACGTTAAATTATCCATAAAAAACAGAAGGTTTACTCCAGGGCATTAATAACTTATCGATGAAACTTCTTTAAAAGAGCAATCTGAAACATAAATCATCGTGCACCCAAGTGTACCGGTGTACTATTTATGAGCCTTCAAATATTCTCCATGCACAGATACAATTAATAATTCCATTTGAAGTTCGATTTGTTTAACCAAGTGAGAACTCAAGAGATTAGTATAGTCTCATTTGCAAGCGTGACCTGGGGCATTCGCCTGCCAGTAGGCGGCCAATGATTTCTGTGCATAATCTCAATTGAGCAAATTGCGAGGAAATTTTCGAATTTGAATAGTTTGGGCTGATGCTGGCAACAAACAATGGCCTACTCGTGCAAAAAACTCTAGGGGATATTTAAACTCCAATGTGAAGCAATGGGGTGCATATCAGAATAGTTATTTCCATGTCAATAATAATAATAGGGGTGGCTGCTGGCTTTGAACCGTGAACCTCTGCAATGAAGCGGTGGGTGCGCTACCGTTGGGCCGTGTGACCAATTAACGTTTCTTTTTCAAACTAGAAAAGCCACACGTGACTGATTCCATCCAAGAAATGCATAGATGTAAATGTGAAAACATTAACCGTGCTGACGACAGATGAATGATGACGTCCAATACCTCAACAAAACTCCAGAAAATGTTGGAAGACCTGGTCTTCACCTGAGGACGGCTGCTTGCGTTGTGGCCGAAACGTCGTGAGAATTATTTTATTATGTTTTATTTCTATTATTGTATTACTTCCCTTCTACGTGACTTTACCGAAAGAACCAAGAAGATGAATCCCTGCAGTCACGAAAGCTTAAAATCGAAATTTAATCGCGAAGTTATTAAAGGTGCGCAAACCCCACATTACGATCAGACGTATTTTACATGTAAATACAATCAAGCAGTACGCGTGTGCGAGACTGATTGTCACCGTATGAGCTGAATAAGCACGAGACACAACGATTCGGCGGTGAAACTTTTAGAGTAAGGTGTCTCGCAACGAGCTGACTGGCATCGAACCTCGCTATTGATTTGCCCACTGAGCTGGAGAACATCGCAGCATTGAGCTTGTGTGTGTGTGGATGTAACCGTACGTGTCATCAGGCGCACATGCCAAAGCACGCGTGTTCAGTCTTAATTCACACGACTCAATACGTAGTCCTTAAATGCCCCGTATTGTGTGCTTTTATGGTGGATTGCGGAGTATATAATGTCTCTCTCTCTCTCTGTGTGTCTCTGTGTTGTCTCTCTCTGCTTGTGTGTCTGTCTCTGTGTGTCTCCGCGTCTGTGTGTCTCCGCGTCTGTGTTTTGTCTCTCTCTCAAGTCTAGTTCTACCTGATGACGACTGCTTGTGTTGCAATCGAAACGTCGTATTCTACTATTTAATTTATTTTCCTTCTACGTGACTTTACCGAAAGAATTGCAGCAGTAACTGCAGCTCCCTTTGATGCTGTTAATCCTGCATAATGCACATGCATATGCAGTACTAATTACATTCCTGCATTTCCCATAAATATGCTAAATTCCTGTTGATATGCAAATTCCTTTGTCAATGCGCCCAGCTTATATATATGCTCTAAGCCCGTGTGCTGTTTCATTCAGACTCTGTCGCCTCGACGGACCTGGTTTTCACCTGAGGACGGCTGCTTGCGTTGTGGCCGAAACGTCGTGAGAATTGTTTTATTATGTTTTATTTTTATTATTTTATTACTTCCCTTCTACGTGACTTTATCGAAAGAACCAAGAAGATTTACCGAAAGAGTCAAAGAGCAACAAGCAAATTATTTCACCCTGCGTGAAGCAACGGGACATTTTGGTAAATTGTCCGTTCTTTGGTCTTTTATCCGACTCTGAGCGAATGTTTCCATCGGCATGGAGTTCAGCGCGTCTCGTCAGTCGAGCGTGCTGATGAGACTGATCGGCACTCACCTTCGATTATCACGGTTGGCTACGTACGGTGCGATAGACGTCCAGCAAACACACGTGTGTGGCAGAGACGTAACGACATTATCAGCTCAGGGGGTGTGGCAATTGTTCAGGTGGAGCCCCAACATTTGATTTGTCTCGCACGGTCGCACCTGGGATATTATATTTCGCGGCTCCTCTTGCCCAATCACATCGTTACGTTTGCGGTCTCGAACATTTAGCGCTGTAGGGGCTGTTGAAAACATCTCACGGTGGTTGTTAAGGGGGTCCCAACTCGTAGCTTTGTCCACCAGGGGGATAGAGAGGTAAGAAGACACCCCCTGCGTCCGCGCTAGTTATGCTACGAATGTTTGATGTTAATTAAATGCTGCTGGATTGACAAGATACTGTGGTTATGGGAAAGAGCTCTTGCGTGAAAACTATGGGGGGCAAATAGCTCAATCGTCTCCGACTGCAACAATTTGGCGGGCCTCCCTTGATTAAAAAAAAGAGTTGCGAAATTCACCGAGGCTTTCCTAGGCAGAACGAGCATAACAATGAAAAAATAATTAAAACAACAATATCTGTATGGTAATGAACTTACCTGTGTCCGAGGAGCATCCACTGTAAGTATAAGCAGGAGGATGTGACTCCTGTTTGGAATGGCGTTGCTAATGCACAGCCTGCATCAGCTGAACATGCATTTCCCTATGAAGAAAGGACATTGCCTCAACATCATCCATTACATATATTCTTGTTTCCATTCAGGGCAGTGTTATTGAGGAATCTGTTGAGTTTTTTGTTGTTTTAGGTTGGGAATTGTATTTTTTGTTAATCGTACCACAGCGTACAATTATATTTAAAGCATGTTTTTTTAGTGAAATTTTTACATACATATGCACCGTATGATAATTATCATATCAATGCTGGGATAGTGCACATGTGTTGATTAATAGAAATTATCATTGTACATTTCCTATGGCTTAAAATTTTAATTTAATATGTATTTACATACTTTTAAACTGTTTACGAGTAAATGCACAATCCAGCTGAGTTAATCTTTAAATAACCCATGCAGACACAGAGGGCATTTTGTACAACTTAAATTCACACAGTTCCTGTAAGTAACACAACAGCTGCCCTTGTCATGCTGCAAAGCGTGCTAAAGAGATTTTACAAAAACATAACCAGAGGAATTGCACCATTTACACAAAATATCTAAATGATTAAAACTTACAATCGTCGTGGTTTTTTTTTCCCTTCGCATATATAAACCCAGCCTAGGACACATCTCAACAGATGGATCACTTTGATAGAACGTTTCCGTTGCGCACGTACCTCTCCCCTGTCACTTTCCACAAACACGCTGCACTACAAAGGGAGACTAATTCGTAGAACAGAACGAGGATTAATGACTTCCTCGCAGCCCACAAGGGCTCGTCAGTGGGGACATGAGGTTAGAGTTACCTTGCGTGGGGGTTAAGGTTTTACATTTCTTGAGTTTGCTTCGTTTACAATTGCCCAAGGCTTCTGCCTTTTGGTAAATTGTCCATTCTTTGGTCTTTTATCCGACTCTGAGCGAATGTTTCCATCGGCATTTGTTTAAGATAGAACACTGAACTGGAGTTAAGCGCGTCTCGTCAGTCGAGCGTGCTGATGAGACTGATCGGCACCCACCTTCGATTAACACACGTGTGTGGCAGAGACGTAACGACATTATCAGCTCAGGGGGTGCGGCAATTGTTCATGTGGGGGCCCCAACATTTGATTTGTCTCGCACGGTCGCACCGGGGATATTATATTTCGCGGATCCTCTTGCCTAGTCACATCGTTACGTTTGCGATCTCAACACAGAACTTTGCACGTTGTTGCTGAATCAGTTTAGATACGTTTGCCGTGTGTTGACCTTTTTAAATTGCGTATGGAAAGTATTTTAATAGGAATAGACGAAATATTATAACTCACATACCGGGCCTGTTTCACATGTTCAACCCATTGTGTTGTGTAACATCACATTGTCACCATTAACGACAACGATGGGACAAAGCACTCGAGTGTTCTGTCCAATTTTGTCAAAATATAATTTCGTCGAATTAAAATATATGATGAATGATTGCGTCGGCGATTCACTGATTCACGTCTTAACCAAATGGGCAACATGGGACATCGTGAATCAGTTTATTATTATAATAATAAAGCATTTGAATACAGCACTGAAGGCACATATACACCAGCAACACTGTCAATGTTTTTTTTGTAGTTGTAAAAGTTAAATGGAAGCTTATAAAACATGTTATTTTTTTACCAAGCATGGTGCACGAATCGATGCATGTCTCCTGCAGGTATTTAAAAATGAATCCCCTCCACCCCCCTCCTCAGTGAGCCAATGAATTGTCACGACTTGGTGTCGCAATTTGATTGAATCATTAATTAATCGCACGTACGATATCATTTGTATCGTCTGTATTTGTGTGATCTGTCATGCTTGTTTCGCTTGTTGTACCGTTCGCGTGAATATAACTTTAGCATTTTCTTTGCATGCATCGTCAATAAGCGATGTTAACTGACAAAGAGATAAAGCTTTGCATACATAATAACTGTAGTCCACGTACATCATCAGCATCGGATGTTGTACAATACATTGCACCTTTAATGTCACTTGACTATTGTGTGTGGAGGGAGTGGTGGTGCAGTGGTTCGAACTTAGTGTAATTAACTGAACAACCTTGACTTGTATTGCCAGCCAATACAAATGATATCTCAAGGGGTCCGTATCCACCTTGGCATTATGGTCTAAGAACCCCTTGACGTTTAATCAAGGGGATGCCTTCATCCAGCAGTGGAATGACATAGAGCTGTTCATTATATGTTTGTGTTTATCTCACAGCATGTGTGCAGTAAGAAAAAAACGTTCATATAATATCTCGTGCACAAAACCAGAGTACACATCATTGGCCGATATACCGTCAAAGTATAATTTTATCGGTTCATCTGCCATATGAAGTAGAATAATAATAACGATGAGCCTTAGCTTAACGATCACTTAAATCAACGGGCGTTTAGTTTCATATGGGTCCAGTTTGAGTGAATTGAATGATACATAATATCTAATTTTAAGGTGCAGTCTTTTGTATGTCTGAGCATTTGCAAAGGAAACTTCATAATGAATAGTGTTCGTTGTAGCAGGACTGCTCAAGACATGTCACAGCCAATTAAATTGCCCCATTAGAACCCGATGTTGAAAATGTCAGGTTCCGATTAAAATACATTGCACTCTCTGGATGAATTGGCGGTGAATCTTTCTGCGCGAGATATGTGGCTCAACTAGATCAGAGAGACAAAGTGCTTTCGTTGTGCAGCTTTAGAATATTATACAATTCCTAATGTTACACGTTACCAAAAGTGTAGGGTAAGATTTTAGATGCGACAGACATTATATCAATCATTCTAGAAAAAAAATAACATCAAATACCATTATCTAGCTTTTGTGTGGACCGATCAGTTTCAAGGACAATGCATATATTATCAGTGTGTTTTTGTTTGCATTTTGACTGCAAGTATTGTGGTGGATACACACATGAATCCTCGTAAAAAAGGTTTCAGTTTTGTTGCCAGAAAAAGGGGTAACCCCTATTATTTCGCTTTTGTAAATTATAAAATACTTTTTTTTTCAGTTTACATTTATGTCGTCATCCAAGTCCTTACAAATCAAGGCCTTAATATAAAATATATCTAAATATATTAATTTTTAATTACCATTCATAAAAATGTAGTAGCTACACTCAAATTGTATGAAGTAACCAAATAGAGATTAGAAGAGGAGTCAGGCAAGGAGATACGATCTCACCAAGGCTATTCCCAATAAGATTCCAACATTTATTCAAGAATTTGAATTGGACAAAGGCATAGAAGCGAATGGAAAAATATTAACAATTTAAGGTTTACTGACAGTCAATATGACGACCAATCAAAATTTACTACTGTACAGGAAATCATGAAAGAACTTAGCCAAGAAAATCTGAATGTTTGATTCGCCGAGATAGATGAGAAACACAAAACTAAAATCGAGCATATTCGCTAAACAAAAATTCTAACACACCAACCTTCTGATTTCTGCAATACAAGTAAAACAAAAACTCCTTTACGTGGTGGTTCATGCCTGTCATCCAGAACAATGGGGGCATAGATTGATCCATTCACATTCATTTGCGAGGCTCCCATACCCCGTGGCTTGCAAAGTGGCCCATGAGATGGGAGTTTCGCGAGTGAGTTGTGTGAACCAATCTGTGCAGACCTTTGAGTGTCATATCTGAGTGGGTTTTTCTTCTTTTTTCTGGAGACATTGGTTTCCTACCTACACGCAAAACACTCACTAAAAAGACATCGGCTAAACGCACAAGTGTCGGGACCGGCGTTGTCGCCACATGAAAGTGGATCGATTTATGCTCCGACGTCGATGCTTCACGCATTCACCAATTCAGCATTGACTAGAGGAGGGAGGTATGATCAAATAAAGCCTGCGACCTACGCGGCACGGGCAGGCCCTCATCCAGCAGTGGATTTGACAAAAGTGGAGTCTACGTGTACAGATTCAGCGTTGTGAAAAAAGACTCGTAATATTATTCATCCAGATTTTATATCCTCCAGTGTTTTGGTTTAGAATATTTCGGGTATAAATGTGTATATAAATATACCATTCAAATGTTGTATGTGTATTACAAGTACACGAATCCCAAAGAAAATTTCAATATGATTCGTAAAAAAAAGGTAACAATAAAAATAGCGTTAGTATGTCTACAATGACACACAAACAGCACACGCGTACATCCGTGCATACACTGTCGTTTTCATTCGGCCGCGCAACGCCTAACATACGAAGGTCCGTCACGTATGAATCTGAAGAAGTCATCAGCTTCTCCATCCGATGTGTCATTTTCCTTGGAATAAAATTCCTGCAGAAAAAAAAAACCCCCATCATTTATATTCACACCTACCGTTAGCGGCGGCGCGTTTTGTTACGCCTGCCAGACCCTCCGTGCCACCTGTCAACTCTCACAATGAGGCCAGCGCAGATTGGCAGCTCGTCAGACCGACATCTTATTTCCCACTCCCTCTCAGATGCTAATTAATGTCCTGGCCTTGACCCAGCCAAGCCCGCCTCTGCCGTCACCTGATCAATCAAACTGGCTGCCCGCTCCCATCCCAGGGTTGACAGACTCTGCCTTGTCCAAGAAATTGCCCCATTGCTGTCATGTAAATTACAGTATATGCCAGCCACGGCGGATTGTGGAATGGCCATTTCCTTCAAGTCGTCTTGGAAGGCAAGGCCACGAGTTTGTTAAAAACATTTAAAATAAAAGAACAAGTGGTGGCTTCGGTTATTGCTAACGGATAAAAGTACACAGTTACTGACACTTTCCCATGTGCAGCTTAATTGTAACATTTTGCTATATTATAGGTGCGTTGCGAAATTACTGGAATCTTACCTCGTACCAGGAGCTATCCCCGTGACATAAATATCACAGTGCAGCATCTACAGCGGCTCGTGGTGCTGACTGATTCATGATCTGGTGCCTAACAAGGCAGTCGTTGGACGAATGTGACCATTAAGTGCACTAGAGACCAATACTTTTGCGCATATGTGAAGCTTCTATCTATTGCGCATCAAAGAGCCGCTTTGCCAGGTCGTGGTGCAAACTTTTCTTGGATCGACAGTGACTTATCGTGATGAAAAGTAATATAATGTTCGCTTTGAATTTTACCACAGTGGAGTGGAGGCACATCGGGTTGATGAATATATAATATTACAGGATTTGAGCCTTTGCCAACAATTGATTCCCTGCTCGAGGTATGAATGTGAGAACGTGCCGTACGTTTTAGGGTTCATTGCTCAAGTGAAGTCCACGCTTAATTAAATAACTATAAATCTTCGTCTGAGAGACATTAGAAAACAAACAAACTATAACCGTTTATCTCAGCAGATTGCATAACGTCGCTCAACATCGTTCGAGATGTGAATCTCTTAACAACGGCACGTATGTACATTGGCATTCAATGAAATATCGCATGTCGACAGCATGTACAATTTAGCATCTCTATCCCGCGAGCGCGAACATACAAATCCCCACTTGATACAGTGAAACGCTATTTAAAGTACCTTAATACTTGGATGAACCAGCAGAACGATGCCGCAATCTCCCGAGGGTATAGAATCCTCCTTCAGTGTGCCCCAGAGGTGCTCATTACTGCCGTAGCTTCTTCAGTGGCTGCACGGTCAGTTGTATTTTCCGTGGGACCGTGACCTGTCCAGTTGTACTGAAGTCTGTTGAATTTCAAATCCATTGCAATAATGTGATAGCTTTACGTACTGTACCATCCACTGCGAACACTGCTGCTATAAGCTGAGACACAAAACAAATGTCTTCCCTGGATTTGAAGGAATAAAAATGTTACAAAAAATAATGGTGCTCGTAAATTAAATTGCCTAGTCTGTAATGTTCATTTTGTGTTAAGTATTGTATATTATTGCGTTGAACTAGGACCCATTTATTACAGGCAGTGTCTTTGTCCATACACGCCCAGCAGTTCATCAGCATGGATTCGAACCAGTCTGACTGCTGATGAGACAATGCATGTCAGAACCGGTCCAGAATTTGCTTGTACAAGTATGAAAACAATTCTGCTCATGAGATGCCTTCACGGAAGACCGTGCATTTGACGGGTTGTGTAATTTTTTTATTTTTGGGGGGAAACATATATGGGAAGGAGGAGTTATTATTTTTTTTAGGAATATTCTCCACTCCGTTTTTTTGCTGTGTATAAGCTCCATAATTGATTACTTATGATATCGATGGAATATCTTATTTATTATTTTGCTTGCAAATGTGAGCAAACACAATTATTTAACAATTTGCAAATACCGTTGTGAAGCATTGGTGATGACAGTGATGGATACAGACGCAGCGTATACAACTAACACATTGGAGAACAACTTCCTGCATTACAGAGCAAGGCCAATGAACATTTTTTTTACCAACATTGTAATGAGTGTATTTTTTTAAAGTATTGAAAATGGGCATTTTCAAATTCAGGTCTTAAAATAACTCATTTAAAATCTGGAAAATACGTTTTTTAAAAGTCATAGATGAAAATGCTGCAGGTGAGTGTAATAAGACGACAAGTGTAGTAGTTCATTTTCGTAAGGCAATTTTACTCGCATGTACAGGGTGCTTCAAAAAAATGTTCACACTTAAATTAGACAATCTTTTTCATGGAAAAAGAACGGATAATATACTGTAACATGACAGCAAATGTATGCTAATCGCTTCAAAAAGTCAGAATCTCCACTTGTTCGCCATCGTTGTCAACACGTTGCCTGGAATCTTCTCCAGGTGGTCTCCAGAGCCTGGAGGCACATTTCTTGTGGCGTTGTTGCAAATTCTCTTAAGTGTTAACATCTTTTTGAAGCGCCCTGTATTCCCTCACTACAGCTCAGCGTACATATGGAGTTCACATATACTACTCCTACCATACAACAGATTTAAATATTGTAGTCTGTAAGACTTAACATCATTAGCGTGATCAATAAAGAGGGGGAAAGCCTAATTTATTGTACTCGTAGGTGAAAGCACCGACGAGTGTGAGAGTTGGTATTTGAATTGTATGGCAGAATTGAACACGTTAATGAGTTCAGCAGGCTACACACTTTATTGTTTGCAACTTTTATTATATAACTTAAAGAGAGATATATGTTCAAGTTGACCATTGAAGCTAATATTTAATACTAACTCACATTAGCAATGATTACAAATTGCCCATTTAAAATTGCTATGAGAGTGACTACAGGTAAACATACAACATGCAATACAACTATTACGACTGCACAGCGTGGCCCAAAAGTCAGGACACACAGGGATATTATATTGTTTTAACAAATCAAATTGGGTTAATTTATTTACGTTAACAAACATTCAAACTGACTGCCATTAACATTAATTCATGCATACATTCTGTTTTGAAATAAATATTTGATTCTTTTTTTAAATATTACAGGCGACATCTTTGAAAATTCATCGATTATGTTTCGTCTCAATGAATTCAGGTGCTTGCTTGAGTTTGTAAATGACGAATTTGCGGTGACCCCACAGAAAAAAGAGCAATAGATATAAATAATGATAATAGATAGAATATTAGCTTATAGAATAAACAATTAAAATTTAAAAAATGCCAGTGTTAAAATAAATTAAATAACCCTACGTTTCCTAACTTTTAGGCCACCCTATACAATATTATACATTGTAGTTTAGTTTCCAGAACACGATACTGCACTGCAGGAACACGGGGTTGATGACACTAACGTTTGTATCTGCTTAAGCATAGTCATAACACGTAGAAACACCGCAAAGGAGTGCCTCATTTCTTTCCTGCCAGATATCCACGATGCAATGTTAAATTCAGCTGCAAAAAAGAGATTAGAAGCTATTGCAATCCTCCAATTTGTGAGTGATTTTAAATTTGAACAATTGGCTCAATTGTCAGAACTGCTTATTACTAATAACCATCCCCCCATAAGGTCATCTTAAGACAATAAACTACTGGGGTAGATAATTAAAGTCTAGGCCACTTGGTTAAAAAGTGGCCAGGACTTGGTAAAAAAAACACACTTGCTTAAACAAATACCAAAGACCACGGAGACCGTGTATTGTTTTAAAAATATATGAACGTGGAAAATCTTTATACTGTTACTGTGACTCAAAACGCTGGGTTTGTCATCTCGCCCCCTCTGCTGGTCACTTCTTACACCAGCCAGGGTACGTAGCACATAACTGTGCAATGCTGATTATTAAGTTTACCATACAAGCATTGAACTACTTGTGTAAGTATTCGTGTTTTACGATTTGCATGTGTTATGGAACATGTTCACGTGGCCCCCTCCAACCACTGGAGGCCGCTACATTCGCCACCTTGTAAAATATTTAGATATTCTGGAATAAAATTACGACCTTTAATTATGCCAATTAATTTCAACACACCCAGTCACTTGATTGGCGTTTTTGGTCAGATAAATTGTATTAAGAAGTATTAAAAGGTTATTTTCGTCAATGTAATACTGCTGTTGCGATATCAGGACCTATGAATCTGTGGGCAATTTTAAAACACATCTTCAAGCCTATTTATACACTTCCGTTGATGCAACTACTGTATTGATTAATTCATAAATTGACTTTCATAGTTTATTTCGTAAAGTTACTTTTAAAAAAGTATCGATTCAAAATAGAGTTATTAGTGTTTACTGCTGTGTCCTGTACAATGCTTTCGGATCCTCAATGATCTATATTTGCATATTAAATTCTGATGAATCGCTATTCATTTAGAAAATGCAACCGAGAATGTTTTCCCTAAAAGATGCTGGACATGTTCACAGAACTGGTACTGCATTTTACTTTTCACAATGGGAGTTCCTATAAAATACTTTAGCAGCCTGTGGTGTGATTACTTTGTACATAAATCAGCCCAAATTACAACTCAAAGCGGTTGATGTTTTTTTTTTAATCCTGCCCTGCCTTTTACTCTTGATGAGAGTCACCTTGTGATTTACTTTGTCCTCCACTTAATAATCTCTCCGGAATTCATTCTGTTGTCATGAACAAGCAAATTGCATTGGTCTAGATGTCTTTGCAAAGTACACATCATAATGTTACCATTGTAATTTAACGCGTGCTTCCAAACTGCACGTCACATTCAAAACAGCAATGCAAAAAAATGGCAGGTTTTCGTTTAAAAACCTGATGCCCCGAATATGATTGAATAAACATTGCGTGCATGCTACATTTAGCATCCATTCCATTATTTGGATGACTGCAAATGCTTTTTAAAGTAAATGTTGGGCGGTAGTGGCTATGCCCGCCTGTAATCCGGCACTGTGGAGGCGAGGATTGATTCATTCTTTCGTTTCTCAGTCCTCTTGTCCTGGTGAGGGTCGCGACTGCAGCGTGTTGAGTAGTGGTGGTCCACACCTCCCTATCCCTGGCGACAGACTCCTAGCTCTACATTACTATACACTATACACTACACACCACTACACTATACACTACAGTAGCGTGTTGAGTAGTGGCGGTCCACAACTCCCTATCCTTGGCGACAGACTCCTAGCTCTACATTACTATACACTACACTATACACTACACTATACACTACTACACTATACACTACACACTACACACCACTACACTATACACTACAGTAGCGTGTTGAGTAGTGGTGGTCCACACCTCCCTATCCCTGGCGACAGACTCCTAGCTCTATATTACTATACACTATACACTACACACCACTACACTATACACTACAGTAGCGTGTTGAGTAGTGGCGGTCCACAACTCCCTATCCTTGGCGACAGACTCCTAGCTCTACATTACTATACACTACACTATACACTACACTATACACTACTACACTATACACTATACACTACACACCACTATACTGTACACTACAGCAGCGTGTTGAGTAGTGGTGATCTACAACTCCCTATCCCTGGCGACAGACTCCTAGCTCTACATTACTATACACTACACTATACACTACACTATACACTACACTATACACTACACTATACACTACTACACTATACACTACTGCACACTACTATACACTACACTACTATACACTCAGCGTCATGTCACGTTCTGTGGAGTACCGCCTCTTTTTGGGCGATTTCACTCTGGCTGAGAATCGCCCAGAGTGGCCCCATAGACTTACATTCAAAGATGTTTTTTTTCGAACGGCGGGCGCTGCAATGCATTCTCTATGGCTTCCGGGAGGGCTCGCACTAACGTGCTTACGTCATCATACGTAAGCACGTTTCAGTCAACAATATTATTTGTCGCTACCTAGTGGAATCTTTAATAAAAGATACTGAGTGGATTGTAATAATAGTGAGTATAGAAACAAACAAGATGTATTGTAAGAGTCACTTTATTTTTCATTAATATTAAAGAAGTGAAGTTGCCTTTACATGCTTAAGCTGTTAATTTATCCATTGCATGGGTGGACCTTATCCTTATCAATCATCCAAACATTTGCCCCCCCTGAGAGATTTTGCAGGAGCCGCTACTGTACACTACACTATACACTACATTACGATACACAGACTCTAGCTCTTCCTGGGGAACTCCCAGGCGTTCCCAGGACAGCCGAGCGACTTAGCCCCGCCAGCAGCAGCGTTTTCCTGGGCCGGCCCCGGGGTCTTGGCCCAGTGGGACGTGCTGCCCGGTAGAGTTCCTGGGGGAGTCTACCGGGAGGGGGGCA